ATCAAATAAAATCAATATCTCCTCATGCCTTTGCTCATGCGTCAAATTTTTATCCGACAAATAAAGCACTATTTGGCAGTTCGGGCGCCAGATAGGGTATCTGGGAGACAAGTTTAAACCCCGGTATATAGACAGTATAACCCCCGGTGTTTTCAGGTACGGATAGCGTGTTATAATCTGCCAGATATATTTTATTTGACGGATAGCAGAAAAACGCATATCTTCACCTATAGATAACAGTATCTATTAGATAAATTAAACTTATCTCCCAGATATCCTATCTGGCGCCCGAACTGCCAAATAGTGCTTTATTTGTCGAATAAAAATTTGACGCATGAGCAAAGGCATGAGGAGATATTGATTTTATTTGATATTTGACAAAATTGCTTAACATAACCAAGACATTGTTATTATTGAAGATTTCGTTTATTCCAATAAATTCGATTTTAGATTATTTGGAAAAACTTACCTATTCTGAGTATGTAGGCTATAATCATTTTAGAACGTATGGGGTATAAACACCAATAAACACATTGAAATGGTGCAAAAAACTATTGTTGCTAGTGCCGGACTTTATAAGGACTGTTACAAAATAAAGAGAGTCTCTGTTCTGTTAGAGCATCAGAACGAAGAGAATGCATTAAGTTAGGATAATAGTGATAAAACAGTAATTTATAAATTATTTTATTTAAATCCTCTCAATTATAAACCATTACTACATATTATAAAATGCTAATGTTTACCTGTGTCGTCTCTACTGAAGTAACGACTTGCTCTAGAAAGTTGCTTTTTTTACTAAAAGATAGCTAAATGGCTCTTCTAAAAACTGCCGTCGCCGGATTTTTTGTTTTTCATTTAATTAAAAAAAAATAAAAAGTATTGTTTTTCCTGATCTCGTAGCGGATGCGCCAGGCTTCAACTAGTTTTTAATAAAGCTCTAAAGTAGGTAAAAAATAAAAACTTTTTAAATCAAACTATTTATTTCATTTTTAATTCGCATATCTTAATAATATTATAATTATAACAGGAACCTTATAAAACCTGTTATTCAACTCACATTTGCTTTTATTTCTTTTGTGTTACAATTTTAGTTTAATTTCTTGCACTGTGTATCTTATACCCTATGATCGAAAAAAAACGGCGTCCAGTTGGCTGGGAAATGATGATCGATGATATTTCCCATATAAATTTACATATGAAATGATAGCAATCTTTATTTCATAGCCATTGCTGACGCCGTTTTTTTCGATCATACGGTACATCTCTTCTCCATGCTGTTTTTTAAGTAACTCTCTAGCTAAACCTTGCTAAAACATCTGTATTGTGGTACTTTGAATTCCAGTTAGTTCAACTTTGTTTAGACAAGATTTTTCCTTTATTTTTTCTTTTTTTTTTGAAGTTCCATCACTTTAGTTCTTAAAAATAAAAGTAATATGACAAAATTGTTTTTATTTAATGTTTTTTATTAAATAATTTGTACATATAATGTGTAAATGTAACAATTATTATAGGTACTATTCATTTATTATTATTAAGACAAAAGTATAAGTGCATTTATCTATTTTATAAAATAAAAACTCACCTTAATTTCTATCATTGATGCTATCCTACCTATTTCTTTACTATGAAAAGCCCTAGAACAACATATTTGTTATTACTAACAGTCTTATGCTATTTTTAATTTTCAATATTAATAACTTACCAGATGGTGGTTTTATGATTGGTTTATAAATCTCTGCTTGCACTTCACCAGCTTCTTCCATATTTTCTATTATCAATTGTACTAAAATGTTAATATAATAAATATAACAGTAATATCATGTAATTAAACTATAAATTACTTACAGATTATTTTTTCTTGATTTAATTTCTTATAAATCGCATTCCATCAATAGATCTATTGCACCACCACCACTGCTGAAATTGAATTATCTTTCCCTTTTTCCATAAAGGTAAATTTAAATAGCCTATACCATAATAGGACTAGTTGGAGTTGAACACAAAATATATTTTAGTTGAATTTTATTGTTTTTATTTTCATTTTGATGATCTTTTGACAACTGAACAATAACCTCACTTTTTAATCTAACGATTTGAAATTCCAAGTTTCTGTCTCTGTCTGTTGTATCGACTTTTCATATACAACCATCTCAATTTCAGATATCTTCTATTGGCAACACTTTCTCTATGGAGTGTCTACCGGTCCGTAGGCGGCCGTCCTCCAAATTGTTATCTATTGGATTATTTTGTATGAAAATACCCAAATGTTATATCCTATAGATATCAGGCTCTAGATTGTTTATCTTTTAGATGGTTATTTGTTAGATAAAAGTTATTTATTTATAACTGAAGAGACCGCGCCTTAGTATATTATGTCGTATTTGTATTTAGGATATTTTATCTTGTTAATAAGGTCTGAAAGAAGTGCAATTTGAAAATAAATTTAACGTTAATATTAATTAATTTTACGTTAATATTTTTGTTAAAATAATATTACCGACTATAAACCATTAAGCACAGAATATCTAGCTACGCAACAGAAGCGTCGTTACATGTAAAAAATCGTAGGTCTCAAAAGGAGACAGGCTTTAAAAGCAGATATTTTGATGCGGTAGTTTCACTACTACATAACAGAGGATTATAAATTTAAAAGAATTTTATTCAGTGTTGCCATTGTGTAATTTATATTGTAATACTTCTTGATAAAACCTACGTTCAAGTTTGCTACATCATTAAACATATTAAAATAGATTAGAGCTCTTTTTTCAAACGTTTAAGTATTTAACTTGCCATGTTAGTTGGAGTTAAATCTTACGAGCTGAAATAAAATCACTTCCTGACGTTTGATTCTAACTGAATCCTAAATTTTGATTGTAATTCGGCGACAATATAATAAGTATTGTTCTACTATTATGACACCACTCCTGACGTTCGATTGTGTTCATACCGTATGATCGGGAAAAAACGGCGTTAGCGATGGCTATGAAATGAAAATCGCTGCCATTTTATGTGTAAATTTATATGGGAAATGTCATCGATCGTCTTTTCTCAGCCAACTGGACGCCGTTTTTTTTTCGGTATCATACGGTATTTGATATATACTTGCGTATTTTTCATGACATTGCAATATTATGGTACCATGAAGCATATCAAGTGATACCGTAATATAGTACCATATTACGATACATGGCGTTCGATTGGGTATATTTATATTACGTATCTTCAGTGACATTGTAATATTATGGTACCATGAAGCATATCAAGAGGTACCATAATAGTACCATATACGATACCATTTCCTGGCGTGCGATTGGACTTATACTTGGTATAGTAAGTATCTTCAGTGACATTTTAATATGATGGTACTATGATGCATACAAAGTGGTACCTTAATATAGTACCATATTGCGATACCACTTCCTGACGTTCGATTGGGCTCATATTTGACTATACTTGCGTATTTTTGATGACATTACAATATTATGGTACCATGAAGCATATCAAGGGGTACCATAATGTAGCACCATATTACGATACCATTTCCTGGCGTTCGATTGGGCCCAAATTTGATATACTTGTGTTTCTTTATAAAGATTTGTTTAATTAATAATTTTAATTTATTGTACGATGTCGTGACAGCAACTTTTATGCCGAACTAATATATTATTAATTGGTACCTGTGTACTTTTTAAAATCTACCTAGGTCTATATAAATAACATGGCAAACAGAAAAAATTTGTTATTATAGTATTTTTTTAGTCAATTAACATTTTTTGTACTGCATTTTAATAAATCATTTCCATTATTATTAAACGTATATTTCATTACTAACGTTTCTGCATTAATAAATATCACTATCAATCGCCCTGTATATTATTAATTTTAAAGGTAATTAAAGTTATTTTCTTAGTTAACATAATAAAGTAGTGTATATTAAAAATGTATTTTCTAATTTATTTTTTTATTTTTATTAATTTATTCTAATTTTAAAAGCCAAACGAATAATTAATATAAGTGTATCTGATAAGAAACGAAGAATAGAAAGAAATTATTATACACCAGAAAAAGAATGGGATGCCAATTAAAGTCTGTTTGAATCTGGCAACTGTGCATATTTTGCCGAGTTTCAAGGCCGTCGACGTGCCGTCGATCTACATCGATCCAAACCCGAAAGTTGAAAATTTCCAATTATATTCTGATTATGATATTATCGCGCCATCTAGTATTTTATTTCTGCAATTTTAGCTCTTTCATTTCGAGTATTTTTCTGTTGCGTAGCTAGATATTCTGTGCATTAAGTGTCGGACTAAAAGACGAAATCGTGTTTCTATGCAACTACAAATAAATATTGTAGGCCTCTGCTCAATATGATAAAAAAAACGGCGTCAGCGATGGTCATAAAATGAAAATCACTGTCATTTTATATGTAAAATTATATGGGCTATGTCATCGATGTTCACTTCCAAGCCAACTGGATGCCATTTTTTTTCGATCATGCGTTATTATATACTATTTATTATATGATTATTAAATCGGAATTAAAATATGGCTCTAAAAATATCAAATTGGTATTAAGAAGTCTTTAATAAATAGTATACATGAATTGGATTGATAATTTAATATTATTTGCAAAATAATCAATCCAATTACGCCAGTGTCATAAAGTGTTGAAAAACAAATGAAAAAACTGTATATTTCTTTTTCTGGCCCCTTAAGTAATTGTCCGACCAAATTATCGCCGGTCGTGCCAGTTACGATTCTTGTTTTTATGAAAGGTAAATTGTGCATGTGGTTCGATCAAATGAACGAATCGTAGCAGTCGATTCAATATAAGAAATCGAATGCGCATCATCACTTAAAAGAATCGTAATGCCCATCAACACTGCCAAGAGCCCGGCGCAGCGCGGCAGATCAAGCGCGGGTACGCGAAAATAAGCGGAGTTGACTAGCTGCCTATGAGTAAGCTGTGATAACAAAATCCATTATTCCTCATTACTTACATCTTGAAGAATGCTTTCAATTTTCTGGTATTGTAGATATTTTTCCTGAAACTTCGGCAATGAAGATTCCTCGACGATCATATAATATAAGCTAGAAGGATTTCTCGCTCGTCCTTTAGACTGGATATAGGAGCGATAATCTTCAGGATAATTAAATTTTATAACTAAAGAGCAAGTAGAAATGTCCACTCCTTCTTCCAGGACATTAGATGCCATCAGAACATTCGTCTCTTTATTATCAAACGATTGTAAGGTTTCTTTATTCTTCTTACTCACATATAAAGATTCACGAGTATCATTGTAAGGGTTATTGTTATAACCGACCATAAAGTTCGTCTTAATATGGGAGTATCCCGGGCAATGTTTGCTCAGGTGATCAAAAATATAGAATAAAACTTTAGCAGTAAATCGACGCTTTGTAAAAACTAGAGCACACAATTCTTCTTTCGATTCGTTTGAATAGTTAGTGAAAATTGATATTAACTTTTTAACCTAAAACAACATATTAACATTTTGTTAGGTAAATTAATTTTGTATTTTGTTATTTGTATCATCTGTTTCTTATTATTTCTTGAAAAACATAAAAGAAAGCGAATCTAATAAAAATAAACCCAAATATAATATTTTTACCTTCAAAAAATGATTAATAATTTAATACAGGGTCCGGCAATAGTGCGTCGGGCATATGTAGCTCCTAGAATCAAAAACTTGGAAATTTTGTTTAAGTGCAAACCTAAAGTATGTACTAGGATGTATTTCATTCTAAAAAGTATTATTGGCTCAAAAAAGTATGAGTGGATCGGGATGATTTTTTTAAATGGGTCACCCTATATATTATTGTGTTTTGGCTTCCTTTAAGATCACTTTACATAATCTTAAGATGTGAGTAAATACATTTCGATAGTTTCAGAGATATTAGTAATTATAAATAAAATAAAAATAAAAAATATATATTTTTCAGTCTTTCTTAAAAAAATTATTGAAAATAAAAGAACTGTCCTGAAATCCAAACTACACTTGCGTGCATAGAAATCGGCCCCAGGCAAACTTTTGAAGTTAACTATATATTTTTTAGAATCTATTTGTCAGATTAAGAAAAAATTTATGCTGTTTGAAAGACAATTTCATATTCTTTGAAAAGAGTTTAGAGATATTAATTTGTATTTTGTGGTTTCTTTGGATTAAAATTATTAAATTAATGCATGAAACAAATTATCGTTTTTTATTATTAAGAGGTATGTTATTATTTATTTATTTATTTATGGACAATTAACTAAACTAAATTTTCAATATAATGGGTATGACCACCTCTTGCTCTAACAACATCTCTCATACGACTTGGCATAGATTCAATCAAATTTGATATTGTTTCTTGCGGGATGTTAAGCCACTCTTCCTCTACTGCAACAATGAGCTCTGGGATAGAAGTAGGGTCTCTTCGTCTAGCACGAATTCTTCGTTTTAGCTCATCCCATAAATGTTCTATCGGGTTTAAGTCTGGATTGCGTGTTGGCCATTCCATAACCCGAAATCCGACTTCTGAAATGTAATCGTGTACGATTCTTGATGTGTGTGCCCTCATATTGTCATGCATAAAAGTGAATTCGTTTCCAATATAGTCGACGTAAGGTACTACATGAACTGCTAAAATCTCCTCAATATACCTAGCACCAGTTAAACCTCCTCTCCCGTGCCGACGGTTGCCCTAACGGATGAAAACTTGGTCGGTTCGCGCAGTCATAGAAATTGCACCCCAGATCATGCAGGAATCACCTCCATAAGCAATCCGCTCCTCAATGCAGCATTCTGAGAATCGCTCACCTGGCCTCCGATACACTTTTCTTCTTCGGTCGCTACCATAGAGCATATCCTGGTCTCATCTGACAATAAAACAGATTCCCATTGTTCTAGTGTCCAATTCAGATGTTCCTGTGCAAAACGTAGGTGTACTTGACGATGAGCTGGGGTAAGTTTTTGGATTCAATTGCGGGTGTTTTGGGGGTCATGTTACTTTCCTTCAATCTTCGTCTTACTGTTCACTGACTAATAGTCAGTCCTCGTGTTTCACGGAGCTGTTGTTGCACCTGAATAGCATTAAGACGCCGATTTCTTAACATTGTTGACACAATAAAGCGGTCATCATGATCCGTTGTATATCTCTTTCTACCAGTTCCATTTTTTCATCAGTTTCTACCAGTTGTTCACACACTCTTCGAACCGCTCCTCGTGTCATATGTAGTTGCCGAGCTACAGCTCTCTGTTTAAGTCCATTTTCGATTAAAGCGATTACTTGGGCGGCTTTTTCCGGTGATGTATGCATTAAATTGAAACACTATTCAAACAATGAAACACAACTAATCAAAGAACAAAAGAACAATGTGAAAATTTCGATTACAAAGGTAATAATTGCAATATTTCACAAGCTTGTTATTCTTATTGTCACCACAACACAAATACCTTTCACTTGTTTACCCGTTGCAACGCATATAAACGATAAGTACTGTGGATAAATTTATGCTCATATTAAAGCATGTTAAATTGTCTTTGAAACAGCTCATATTTTTTATTTGCTCTGATAAATAGATTCTAAAAGACACAGTTAAAACCAAAAGTTCACAGTGGGCCGATTTCTATGCACGTTAGTTTATATTAGGTATTTACTTTAGATGGTCTGTACTTACTTTGCTAAAAATATGGTAATCGTAAATCATACAGGTTGTTTAAAATTCTACGCCAAACTTTCTAAAATATAAAATAATTTTTCTTCGTTTTTTTTTTAATGTAACACTCTGTATACTATTCTTTCAATAGATGGAGGATTAAAAAATGAACATTTTTTGTATTTAGAGTATTTCAAAATTTTTACCGTTTTCCCATATATTCGCGGTTTTATATTTCATATAGCATTTTCTACAGTAAATTTTTATCAAAGCCACCTAATGATTTTTCTCTCGTATTTTATCGTTGAAAGCGCCATATGAAATAATACGGCGTGTATCTGCAAAACCATTAAAAATTTTAAATACTTTAAATACAAAAAAATGTTCATTTTTTAACTCTCCATCTAATAAAAAAATAATATATAAGGTGTTCCGTTTTAGAAAGTTTGGCGTAGAACTTTAAACACCCTGTATCATTTAAGGTTACGATATTTATAGAAAAAAGTATAGACCAACACCTAAATAGTTTTAATTTCAGGACAGTTCTTGTGTGTGTAATAATGTTTTAGTAAGGTTGAAAAATATATATTTATTTATTTATTAATATCTCTAAAACTATCGAAATATATTTACTCATATCTTAGGATTATGTAAAGTGATTTGAAAGGAAGCCAAAAATGCAATAATATTCGGGGTGTTCCATTAAAAAAAATAATCCTGATCCACTCACACTTTTTTGACTTAAAATATTTAATAATAAATTTTTTGACACTTGACAATACCTATAGAAGTTAAAATATTTTCCTGAAATACATCCATATTTATACGAAAATTGAAATTATTATAAATTAAGCAGAAGAAATATTATATTATAAAATAAAGAAATTAATAAAAAAATATATATTTTTCAGCCTTTCTTAAAAAAATATTAAAAATACAAGAACTGTCCTGAAATCCAAACTATTAGGTATTTACTTTAGATGATCTGTACTTACTTTGCTAAAAATATGGTAATCGTAAATCATACAAGTTGTTTAAAATCTAATATCTACGCCAAATTTTGTAATGTAGGTTTGCACTTAAACAAAATTCTCAAGTTTTTTATTCTAGGAGCTATAGATGACCGGACCCTGTGTAACATCAGATATGTTTCCCGCAAAGGAAAAAGTTGACCAGCTGTCCACAGTTGGCTAAAAAGGAAAACTGTAAAGTAGTTTTGAAAAAGTCTTCCGAAGCAAAAAGTTAAGTTAAAGTCTGCAGAGTGGTTTTGAAAAAAAAAATCGTTTTTTACCGTAAGTCTTATACGGTGGGTCTTGGTTTTGCGTAAGTCTTGCACTGGTCGGTCTGAGTCTTGCAGTTCAAACGCTAGTCTTGTTCTTGGTATTGCTATTTGTGCCAGACCAAGAAGATAAGATATAGACTAGAAATGCATTTGTTTGGGTTGTTAGAAGTTTTACGCACTTAATGCTGTGAGCCCTTTGATAGAACAGCTCCAAATCATATGTTTGAAATTGAGGTTAAAGACACTTAAAAATATAGAGGGGATAACCATCTCCATTATCCCTGAATAAAACAAAAATCAATCGATAACCGACCTCGACGCCATTTGACCAATAGGAAAATGGCGTAAGGAAATAGGCGCAAGCGTATTACTTCCATCTCTAAACAAAGACGAACTTGTGTACTTATTTTTCATGTTCTTATTTTAAATGAGTGCCCCATTTTTTATTATATAATTAAGTTCTATGTAAAAGTTTATGAATTTTGATATTAAACACTCTATACCTAACACTAACCGTTTTTGAGAAAAAATATTTAAAATTTTTGGACGGAAACTGCCTGTCAAAAATATTTTTATTAAAAACGTCAAGTTTAGTGATTACCACAGCCACTGTGACATCAAGGGAAGACATGTGGCTATCGATTTCAAAAATTAAATTGTTCAAATGTCATTTAATAATGGCCGCAGAATTAAGTGAATTATCACAAATATTTTTTTTTTGAAATGGAAACCCAGTTTTTTTATTTCACTAATGAAAAGGTTTTCCAATTGGAATCTTGTTCTAGAAAGAAAGAAATAGAAAAATCCATATGAAAGTCCCGTAAACAAAGACGTATGTAATATACATATGGCATAGCTTTATCTACGAGGTTTATAAGATCTAAGGTCTATGGTTATCCCACTGGTCAACTTTTTTTGTGGGAAATTTACCTGCATGTTTGATAATCGTAGATATTTTATTTATATTACACATTTGTTTAGAGAACTCTACAAGCGCATATGCACCAGTTTGGGTACAACTATTAATAAATATGCTCACCTTGTCTGATGAAAATCTAGTAACTTTCTCAATTCCCGAAAATGGTTCCAGAACCTTATCAAATATTTTCTTCATGTGACTCAAAACCGTTTGTACATAAGATAAAACAATATGCAGGTTGGCCTCTGAGCAATGTTTTTTTAATCTCTCAATCTGTATAATATGAGCTAAAAGACCTTTATTGCCTCCAAAAATGCCCAGTGTCTTAATATGTAAGATTACATCATCAATGGTGTTACATAACAACGCTATACCTTCTTTTTTTTGGATCGGAGTAAGATCTGGTCTTGGTAAAATCACAGGAGATTGTGGTTCTTTAACTATATATAAGAGCTGTTTTACTTCCTCTAACTCCGCTATAACTTTCCTCTCTTCGAAAGATGGAACATGTTCTGTTACAACAGTCACTTTTTCAATTGGGTTTGTGGAATAACTAAAAAATAATATGTAGCTACAGATGTTACCGGGGCTGTTATTACTAGTCTACAAATTTAAGATTCTAATCCTACATGCACTATCAATTTCTAAATGGCTTTTAAGTTGAACTTGATGCTAAGTAATACTTAAAAGGTAAAATTAACTTGCACATCTAGAAAATGTAAACTTTGATAGAAAAACTTAAACAAGCCTATTCTGTAGGCTATGGAAAATACACTTTGACGTTTAGTATTGTACGAATAAGTTCCCAGCATGTACAATTATGAATTTTAGGATGCCATCTCCATAAATGCGGAAGTTATTCATACTTGGCATCACTTTTTATCTATTTCTTACAAAAAACAACTTTTTCAAATAGTTTTTCGAAATTCTGCCAGCACATTTTTTTTTGCTATTTGTTACTTTAAATGTCAAATTTCATTTTAATTATCTTAAGTCATTTTTAATCTAAATCAATGCATAAATTATCCTTAAAGCCAAATTTCAGCTGTCACTAAATAAAAAAAGTTCCATATGATGCGGACTTTATCTGTACACTGTATGTCCATTATTTAGATAAATGCTAGATTACTTCAAGTCATTGTCTCTATACAGGGTGGTCCAAACTGTATTCCGGAAACTTCAGCGCAGCATATTCTACACATAAAAATAAGTAAAAAAGTTCGTATAATACTGATAACTTCTGTCCTAAAATGCATCGTTTCGAAGATACGGGGTGTAGAAGTTTCATTTTTATATCGATTTTTTCGATATAATTTTTGAACTAATGTCGATATTTAGATGAAAATTGGTATTTGGACGTTTTTTAACATGAGAAATTTGATTTCGATGTGAATATGACTCCTACTTGTAGGGTGCCCCCCGACACGCAACCTACATGTTTTTTTACTGTTTTGAAGAGTAATAACTTTTCATCCGTAACTGTTTTACACTACTGAGTGAAAAGATATACATTTACGCCTTATTTTACGTAAAAAATGTATCTTGGTAAAAATCGCTGCGAGCAACCGACTCAAGTTATTTGGATTCTTAATAATCAATACATGCCATCAATGACAAAAATTAAACATGTTCACTAATACTAGATAGATATTTGAGTAAATTAATAATTTTCAAAACGTCCTGATACCAAAGGTTCAACAGAACCTGTTTTAAAGTAAGTAATTGTAGTAATATTATTTTTAATAAGTAAGTATAACTGAAATTGTTCTGAAAACACTTTTAGTTTAAAAATGATAATAAAAACTACCCAAAATTAATTTTGATTTGCTCGCCTTAGATATTATTATTTTGAAAGGATTTATTTTATATTTTTTTCTATAAAAAATCTGCTCGTTTTAACCTAAATACGATTTTTCAAAAATCGCAAATTTTCTAGAAAACTTACGGTTCGGTTTTGAAACAGCTTCAGTTGAACATATGATATTAAAATATCTCGAAAATTATTAGTTCAGTCAAATATCTTTCTAGTGAAAACTTCAATTTTTGTCATTGATGGACATGTACCGGGTGGCCAACTAAGAATGGACGCCGGCTGTATCTCAGAAACTACTTATCGTATAACATTGTAGTCTAAGAGCTAGCAACGTTTTCGAGAAAGTATTTTAAGACGTCTGGCTCTTTGATATATCTTTTTCTATGCTCTCTGGAACAGCCAGGCCCGTCTGGCTGCCGATACCCGTTGCGTTCACTATTGCGCATCGAAAGAAGATCCTATATTTTTTATTAATTTAGTCCTATAAATTCTAGTATTGAATATAAATCGAACATGTCTCCATAGCGCAGTGCGTAGAGTTTCCGACCACGAACCGAAGATTCAGAGTTCGAATCCGGGTCAGGTCAAAGACTTTTTTATTTTATTTTCGTTTATATTCTGATCGTAAAGTATTAAATAATTCTGGTAATTAAAAAACAAATATTTAATACTTTACTATCAGAATATAAACGAAAATAAAATAAAAAAGTCTTTGCCCTGACCCGGATTCGAACTCTGAATTATCAGTTCGTGGTCGGAAACTCTACGCACTGCGCTATGGAGACATGTTCGATTAATATTCAATACTAGAATTTAAAGGACTAATAAAAATATAGGATCTTCTTTCAATGCGCAGTAGAGGACGCAACGTTTACCAGCAGCCAGACGGGCCGCATGCTGTTTAGAGAGCATAGTAAAAGATATATCAAAGAGCCAGACGTCTTAAAATACTTGTTTTTCCGACGTTGCTATAGTACAATCTTTTAAAAGTTCCTCAATATGGCCGATCTAGTTACAAAAATTGGTAAGTTTTTTTAATGAAAAATAAGTTGGTGTTAGCGTATTCAGAATTTATTTACTCTTTGGTTAACTTTTTAACGTTAACAACATTTTTCAGGATTGTCAAGTTGACGTTAAAGTTAGGTTATTAGATGGTTATCTAAAATAAAAAATAAAAAAATAGATTGAAATTATTTAAATAAGAATAAAGGTATTTTACCGCAGATCGGAAGAGATTTTACTTAAAGGTATTTTATAAACTTTCTCAGTGAGAATATTAACTCCCCTGTTTCTTATATCTCAGTTAAACGGACGCGACGTAAGAACTATAGGAAGTGAATTTTTGTTTTCATGTTTTGACTGAATAATTATAGTTGTTTAATAAGTGAAATTAATAGAAGACTTGGAGATAGGATATACATATATATATATATATATATATATATATATATATATATATATATATATATATATATATATATATATATATATATATATATATATATATATATATATATATATATATATATATATATATATATATATATATATATATATTGTCAAGGTGTATTACTGGTTGCATAACTGCATACTGCTAAAATCGCAACGTGCATTGAGGAACCTGGCGCATTCGCCAGAAAGTAAAGAAAATTATAGAATTCTTTAGAAAAATCTAGAAACAACCGCCAGGGGGTATATAAGGCCGGCGCTTTGACAGTTGGACAAATTTGAAGTTTAAAGTTTGAAGTCTGAAGATAGTCTGAAGTCTGAAGTTTGAAAATACCGCGAAATACCATTAGAGTAATAGTAGTTGCATAAGTTGTGTTGTAAATAGTATAAGTTGTGTGTACAGAGTGAAACAAATAAATTCGTTAAGTATTTTATCGTGAGTTTAAATAGTGGACCCACGGAATCCGTAACAATTGGTGTCGGAAGTGCGATTCAAGAAGATTTTAAGAAGAAATTAAGTGGATTGGAAAATTTTTAGACCGAATTAGAGTATTTTTATGGTTGGTACAAGGACACAAGCGAAAAAAATGGAGGAAGTAAGCAAACTATTGGGCGATTTTATGGAGAATATGAGAAGAGAGAAAGCTGAAGAACAAGAAAGACTACGTAAAGATAAAGAAGAGGAAAAATTACAACGACAACAAGAAGAACAGGACCGGCTTGAGAAAATTTTTGAAGATTTGAAAATTCAGCGACAACAAGAAAAACAAGAAGAACAAGAAAGACTACGTAAAGATAAGGAAGAGGAAAAATTACAACGACAACAAGAAAAACAAGAACAGGACCGGCTTGAGAAAATTTTAGGCAATTTAGAAATCCGTCAGAAGAATGAATGGAGGGAAATTTTAGAAGATATAGAGACGCACACCGCCAGAAAGAAAAAGACAAGAAGATCAAAAACCGTCTTAAGAAGAACTTTGAAGAACTAGAAAGAAGGCAAGAAATCACCTTCAAGAAGCCGTAGAAGATCTGGAGGAACGCCTTCAGCAGAAAATGGAAAAAATTAGAGATGGACCTACACAAGACCAAGGTACAAGTAAGGACACCTGGCGTTCCTGGAACTGCGAACCTTAAGGCCCCGACCTACGATGGACAAACGACCTGGACGATGTACCACCGCCAGTTTGAAGCAGCCGCCGCTGCCAACGGATGGACTGACCAGGAGAAAGCAGCGGCACTTGTCATCGCGCTGCGTGGCCCTGCCCTGGAACTGCTGCAAACTATTCCTGCAGCCCAACAGCAGGAATACGAAACTTTGATTGCTGCACTGGACAGAAGATATGGCGACCAACATCGACGTCAACTTTACCAGGCCCAGATTACGACACGCCTGCAGAGGTCGGAGAGAGAGTGCAGAGGTCTGAAGCAGACTTACGTCGGCTGGTACACCTGGCATATCCAGAAGCACCGGAAGGGTTTAGGGAGGAACTCGTTGCTCAGTGCTTTATCAGCGGACTGAAGGACAACGAGTTACAGAGGGCACTGCAAATATCGCGATTTTCGACCAGCAGCGAAGTACTTGTCAGGGCGCTAGAAATTGAAGCTGCTTTTAGCGCCATCCCTAGACCGAAGATAAGATCGGTAACGGTCGAGGAACAGCCCGGAAGTTGTCACATACGTTTGGAGGAGATGTTTAGTAAACTATGTGAGTTACTAGTGAACAAGAGTAGCAACAACACCCAGACAGAGAACCAAAGAAGATTCCAGGATATGAGGTGCTATGGTTGCGGCAGGAATGGCAACATCAAACGGGATTGTCGCGTCCGGGCGATTCCACTTTCACCATCCAGAGAACATCGGCACATCGGAAGATCCCAGGACATAAGTTGCTTTATAGATGTGGCAGGAATGGCCATCAAACGGGATTGCCGCGTCCAAATGCGATTCCGTTTACCATCGAGAGAACATAGGCACCGGAAATCAACACTAATGAGCGAGTATTGGCTGAAGAAACAGAGACCCTAGGATGTTTTCCGTTAGAAGTCTAGGAAAAACCGCTGACAGTTTGGTGATCAACGGGAAGGTCAATGGTAGAAGAAGAATTCGAATGACTGTGACACAGGCGCTATGGTATCGTTGGTGCGGACTAACTCAATGCAAGGATTGAAGATGATGCCTCTTAGAAGAAGAGTGTATTTACGTACAGTTACGGGGGAAATGGCTGCCAGTAATGGGAGAGGCTTTCATGGAATTGGAGTTAGGGAATTTGAAGTTTCGGCATAGCGTTTTAG